AGACAGCTTTACATTCCGGACACATTTAAATATCACGTTCTATATAGAGAACACTGTCTACCGACTCGCTTCCGCTACTCTGCCGACTGGATATGGGATATCACCCTCTATTTACTCTGTATCTTTTTTTAAACTTTACCTTTGACTTTGTTAGTAAGACGGTGTCACAATCAGACACACAAAAATAAAATAGCTTAATGGAAGCATGAAAATCTTGGCTGCTAGATTAAAATCTGTAGAAAGAGTCAGACTGATCCCACGGCCTTGGTGTTGCTAGCACCATAATGTATACTTGACAACCTTTAGGCAAAGAAGTGGCACCTGCCCCTGACGCCACCTGCTGCATGTTCACAATGACCTTTGACCCTTTCGTTGTAAACTCTTCTTGAACTTTTGACATCATTGATCCACTTGTGGCGTTAACTTTTCTGCACAAACTCAAGACCTGTATTTCTGTGTCCTTAAACGGTTTGGGAACCAGGATAAGCTGTGCTCTTCCTTTAAAGCAAACTCCACCTTGTTCCCACTTCTCGTCAACTCTTGTTTCAAAGGGGGCGATGTTACACATCTACCCTGGAATGTACTGACTCCATCCCACCCGCTCTCTGATTCCACAGGCTACTCATCACAGTTTTGAGTCATCTCATGTTGCATCTCTTCAGGCAGCTGCGGCTTCTTTGCTTTGGAGGCACCACTCGTTGACTGGACGAGCTTCTCCAGTGCTTCCTTAGCTTACATAAAGGCTGCATGCACACTTTACCTAGGGTGACCATATGTGCCATTTTCCCAGGACGCGTCCTGGCCAGGATTTCTATATTGCCTAAAATATCTAGGTTTTGGCTTTGTTTGCGTGTGCAGTCGATCGGTGTATGACATCAAAGTACCATACAGACGGTTATGCTTTCGAAACGCTCTCGAGGTACTTTGATGTCAAACACTGATCGGTCTGAGCTGCACTGCTTTTAAGTCGAACAAACCTAATATGTACGCGTAATTGCATCGCTTTGACCGTAGATCCAACCTTCTCATCATGGACCAATCACGCCATGATTGGTCCATTATGTACAATGCTTGCATGTTATTGGTCAAACTACTTTTCGATCATTGCCTTCAGCAAGCATGAAAACAAAGCCAAAACAAATCCTGGCCAGGACGCGTCCTGGGAAAATGGCACGTATGGTCACCCTAACTTTACCTGAACAAAGGTTGTTCCATCCTAAAAATGCTGAGAAATGAGTAATGCATTCAGTAATCACTTAACGAATCACCTCCCACATGTTTGTTCTGAAAAGTTACCTAATATAGGCCGGATCTGTGACTTAGCGGTTAGTGTCCTCCATATCCTCCAGACACAGCGGTGTTTGTTTGGATTAATAAGGTTCTGGCCTGTGTTGTGTGTCAATCCTTTCTCCACAATAATGACCTGTCCCCAGTTTCTACTGATAAACAGCCCTAAAATAAATATATAATTAAATAAAGCCAAAAAAAAGAGAGAGAGAGAAGAAACTACCAATGTATTCAGATTTTGACTATTAAAAAGTTATAGGTTAACGACACGGAAGAGGACAAAACATAAAAAAATAAATGAAATACAAGTGTGAATACCTTGAAAGTATGAATAAAATACAATAAGATGGGTGAAACCAGGGAAAAATAAATACAAAGAAAGTGAAAGCAAGCAAATATTAAATACGTTATAGTACATGTATTATGATATAGTGATTTCTTTATGCCGTATGCGTGTCACACTGATTACCATGAAACAAAACTAATGCTAAGATTCTCTCCAAATAGACATTTAAAACTACAAACCAAGTCAAATTGGTTTAAAACGTCTACTTTCAGTGACTTTACAAATGATGAGGGTTTATTTCAAGAATATTCTCTCCAATAATAAACCCTCGACAATGAGAGTGTCACTCAGATGGCAGTGAGAATGAATGGGCATATTAACACCACTCGGCTTCCACTCATCAGAGTGAAAGAGATGCAGTGAACACACTGACCGCCTGTCCTGAGGTCACGCTTCACAGCTGACCTCCGACCTGATTTGTATGCGTGGCACTTGGCCGGCTGTGATCCAGGGGATGCCGCAGTAGTTCTACGACATCCAGTGAGTGGCATATGTGTCTATGTGTATAGATCAGAATATGTGTGTGTGTGTGTGTGTGTGTGTGTGTGTGAGAGAGAGAGAGAGAGAGTCACTAATGCCTTGTCTGAAGTATTCAGTACACTTGAAGCCTTCATTTACTTCTACAGTACATGCAGTTTATTCATTTCAACAGATATTAATGCCTTTTTACTTTAGTCTTTTAAAGTGTTTTCTGGGGTAAGATCATCCAAATGATGTTTTAAATCTGATGGACTGTAAAAATAAAACCATTGCTGTTTAAAAGCCATCTCAATACTATAAATAGAAAGTATTTTGACCACAGGGTGGCGTACGTTTGCCCCATCAGCTGGACAATTTGCAATAGAAAAAGTGACAAGCAAACAGCAGATTGGAAGTTAAAATATAGCTATTTTTTAATATTCAGTTTTGATAATGTAACAGTTAAATTTACCGTTTATTATTTGCATTACATATTGTTTGAACATTAAAAAAAAAAAAGTTTATTTCAGTCATGTAAACAGAGAAAGAATATACAATAACATTTACAAATGTTTCAAGATTACATGCATTCAGCAAGTGACAGATACTGTGAGGTGTCAATACATTCAGTGCACTTAACAGAGTGTTAGTAATGGTAAGCAACACATTAAAAGACGTCTAAAAACTATTAAACAAAAATTTCACAATTTGATTTAATTAGAAAATTAAATAATCAGCAAGATATTGATCATTGCATAACATTAAGTAGATTTTGATTAATATTGTTATTAATTTGTCTTGTACAGTTTAATAAAAAGATGCATGTAAATGCTTTTCTACTAATACTAGCATTCAGTTATTCTCCAAATATAGAAATTGTCTGCTTGTGCATTATTATTTTTTATCTCTGTCACATTATTATCGCATGAACAAACTGAATTATGGATAAGTTACATTTGTCCTAGTAATCCTCCATCTCTCTGTTCTCCGCCCTTATCCATTGGTTTGCATTCGACAAAGAAATATAATAAAAGTGAAAGAAATGTCATGAACAAAAGTCTGAAAGCATCAGAAACTTCAGGTTTAAGTGTTCCAAAAATTTAGCTTGGAGGGCTTCATTAAATTGGTAGCATAGTGCATGTGTAATCACATGAAATGTATCCTCAAAGGTACAAAATGTTTCACCAATTCAATAAAAAAATTTAAATAAAAAGCAGATGAAAAAAAAACTTACCAAAAACTCTTAACCTGCCAGCAAAAAACAAAAACCTGTTAAAAGTTTCAATTGCTTACGTGAGAGACAGATAAATGGTTAACTTTGCAATCAAAATGACAAAAATTTTATGAGCGAGTAACTGTAAATGCTGGATGGTGTTCCAAAAATTTAGCTTGGAGGGCTTCATTAAATTGGTAGCATAGTGCATGTGTAATCACATGAAATGTATCCTCAAAGGTACAAAATGTTTCACCAATTCAATAAAAAAATTTAAATAAAAAGCAGATGAAAAAAAAAACTTACCAAAAACTCTTAACCTGCCAGCAAAAAACAAAAACCTGTTAAAAGTTTCAATCGCTTACGTGAGAGACAGATAAATGGTTAACTTTGCAATCAAAATGACAAAAATTTTATGAGCGAGTAACTGTAAATGCTGGATAAGTATAGGTACAGTAAAACATGATAGGGATGCTAACAGTCACATTAGGTCAGTCTTGAGAAATGACTTTGGATTATAGCATTATAGCAGACATGAGAACTGTGTCCACAGAACTTCATACACAGTCTCCACACAATGCTTAGAAAAAGATGGCTAGTTTTTTTTACTTCTGACCCCTGACACATCCATTCATACATGTAGATTTTCCAACATAAAATGCCCTGTTCTAGCAATCCTTTGCATATTTTCATCTATAATATCCATTATCACTATACAACTGAGCTGAACAACCTGACATTCAGAACACTGGCTCATAACAAATTATATCTAAAAGTAAAAATAAAAAAAATAACCTACATAAATAAGCCAAGGCTTTCACAGACTATATACTTGCAATAAACAATTTGCAAGTACATCCCGCACACCAAAAAGGCTCATTAGGCAATTTAAACATTACGGAATCCATATTTACAATATGTTCAGCTGGGTAGCTAACTGCTCGGAAGACTCTTTTACAGATTATGTGTTTTATGGTTTGACTTAGTTAATCTTAGAGTCATATTTTTGTCTTTGGGCCAACTAGAGATTCTGTTTTTATTTTATTTAAGGTTTAAAGTACTAAAAAAACAAATTTACTGCTGTTAGTAAAGGCAAATGTACATAATATTACATGTTTTTTTACAGTTAACTATTAACTCTAATACTTTATATTTATGATTATCAGGCCATTATACCAGTGTTCATTTTATTTAGTGCAAATGGGTTTATTTTGAATACTAGTCACATTTACTTGTGAAAAATTCAGATTAAAAGTAAAAGTCAGACTACTACAAGAATGATCTGTAATATACTCTTAAAACACGATTTATTTTAGGCTTTGCCAGGTATCATGGCAAGTCATGGGTTTTCCTTCCTGTTAAATTAATTTTGAACGATTAGTAATCATTACCCTTTTTCTTTTAAAAATGTTGTCATTTCAGGCTCTGTGCTTGAAAATCATTGATGTCTGCACTAAGAGCCCAACCATTTCCAGTGCCATTAGACAAACAATTGGTGATCATCTTCTCAAGGGCAGTACTCAGAGGAACCATCGATTGCATCAGTAATATTGATTATAACTCGTTGCCATTCGCCGTACTGACTCCATGAATTTCCTTTATACTGGCTGTTGTGCGCCGAAGTATAACCCTGAACAAACAATCTCCTGAAGGGGTTCTGTATTGCTGGGCTTTCCAAAGATTAAGTGTACAGTATGGCTTAAACCTGTTACACAATGGACTCACTCCAGTTTTCCGCAGCGGTTGAGGAGTCAGGAGCGGGAAAAGGGGCAGAGTGCAAGACCACATCGCTCTGAACTCTCACCGAGGGATGCTTAACCCCATACTGTGGTTTCCCACGTTGAGAGAAGGAGAAACTCATAGGTTTGTCATCCTCAATGGCTTGATCTCCATACAGATGGCTCATTTTCTTAACTATCATCCCCACTTTTTCTGGAGCCTCTTCACCTTGTCTCTTTGAGTTCATCTTCTCTCTATACATATATGAGGCATGTTTGAGGCCGCGTTTGAGGACGTGCTTGCGGTAGGCACTTTGAATGGTCAAAGCGGCCACTTCTTCTTGCTTCCGTCTGAGAGTGCTGGTGATGGGCTCGTACGAAACCTTCGAGGGATTATTGGCCATGAATTTCTCCTCCATAGTTGCTTTCATGGCATCCATCTGGTCAGAATCTCCCAGCACCTCTGTAGTGAGGGCCAGGAGAATGTCCAGACAGTAGATCTTATCGCCAGGGACCATGGGAAGGTCCATTGTGATCAACTTAAGGGTGTTCGGTTTGGGTATTCTCAGGGGGTCTTTCAGCGTGTCGCAGAATTCAGACAGCCTACTGTAAGCGATGAACTGAGAGGCGGTGGGGTCGAACTTCTCCCAGGTTTCATAGAACATCTCGAAGTCATCTTCGCACAAGGGGTCGCTGCTTTCTTCGGTCGCTACGTTGAAGTTTTCCAGGATAATGGCTATGTACATGTTGACCACGACGAGGAAGGACATGACAATGTAGCTGCAGAAGAAGACGATGCCTACCGCAGCATTCCCGCAGTTTCCTCGGACAGGCGATCCCGGGTTCTCCACATCCGGGTCGCAGTCTGGTGGGCTGTTGAGTATAGGTGCCAACAATCCATCCCAGCCGGCGGATGTTGTGATCATGAACAAGCATATGATACTGTTCCCGAAGGTCTCGAAATTAAACATGTCATCGATGCCCGCTTCTTTTTTCACATACCCAAAGTTGGACATGCCAAATATGGAGAAAATAAACATGATTAAGAATAGAAGCAAGCCAATGTTAAAGAGGGCAGGAAGGGACATCATCAGTGCAAACAGTAATGTCCGGATTCCTTTGGCACCCCGGATAAGCCGCAGGACGCGGCCGATTCTGGCCAGTCGAATGACGCGAAACAGTGTAGGTGACACAAAGTACTTCTCGATGAGATCTGCCAGTAAAAGACCTGTGAGATGAGAAATAATCAACAAGGAAACATTATAAGCAATGATATATAAGGGAAAATCTTGTCTTCAATAAGTGAAAGGTACTCTTTGCATTCATGCTGGTGTTTATTTGATTTGGAAAACGTTTATGCCATTTTCAACACTTGACTTACATTTACTTGATTTACATGACACTTTTAATGTATTACATTACTTTAATATAATTACTTTAAAGTGATTGTGTATTTTCCTTACACCCTAAATTTGTGTGTACTTAAGTGTAGATATCTTAATAGATATTTTTAAATAAGTTTTATATATAACAGTATATGGCATTTTACCATCTTAAACTTGCATTGTAATAACAATGTCAAAATTACATTATTATTGTAAGAGACTTGCTGACCTTAATACACTGTCATTGTCACTGTCACTACGATATAATTTCCTGTTTAATTTTTTTTGCATTACATGACTAGCAAACAAATGTTTTTCCAAATATTAATAAGCAATGAAGCAGTTTTGTTAAAGTATTAATTTGTCATAAGTGTTTTCTAAAGTTTTTTTTCCAAGAATTTTAATTCCTTTAGTGTTTTATTTTCTTTAATGTAATTACCCTGACATTATGCCTGACAAAAATAAATAAATAACAAAAATATCTAAATTAATTTTGATTCAGAAAAACATGCCCATAATAGAATGGCATAGAGCAGGGGTGCCCACACTCGGTCCTGGAGGGCCGCCAGTGTCCTGCAGAGTTTAGCTCCAACTCGCCTCAACACGCCTTCAAGTTTCTTGTATGCCTATTAAGAGCTTGATTAGCTGGTTCAGGTATGTTTAATTGAGGTTGGAGCTAAACTCTTCAGGACACCGGCCCTCCAGGACCGAGTTTGGGCACCCCTGGCATAGAGGATGAAGCCATTGCATTAATTGTATTTGAATTTTAAATACATGGAATCAAAAAATGAGCGTCCTGTCATTGACCCATTAAGATTAATTTTCTACTTCATAATGATTACCATAAATAAAGCAGGCTTACCTGTGATTGAAAGAATGACCACCACAAAATCAAAAATGTTCCACCCAATGGAAAAGTAGTGATAGCGCAAGGCGATGATCTTGAGAATGCACTCCCCGGTGAAGAGTACGATGAAGACCAAGTTGATAAGGAACAGAATATGTTCCTTCTCTTCACTCTGGTCATCTGTCTCCACCATCATGGTCACCATGTTCAGGCAGATCATCACCATAATGAAGATGTCAAAGAACTGCTTGGTGACCAGGTCAAAAACCAAACCTTGGAAGCAGTTCTTCAAACATCAGAAGAGAAGAGCATCCCGAGGAGAAGAAGGTGCTGTTAATCCTCAGATTCAAGTCTATTCATTTTAATAATTAATCTGAGAAAAAGACTATATATTACCGTAGGCCTTGGTATTGGTTTCTGTGGCTTTTTGGAGCCAAGTTTCTTCATGGCATTGTAGTATTTTTTCTGCTCCTCTGTCATGAAGATATCAGTTCCTCCTAAGTATAGACATAAAGACAATTATTCCATAGCAGAAGGTGTTTTAGTGTTTCTTCAAATCCAGAAGACCAAGTGATATGACACTTATCTTTGCCTTTTGTTGGTTGAAATTGTCAATGATGACGCCGATGAATAGATTAAGGGTGAAGAAAGAGCCAAAAATGATGAAGATGACAAAGTAAATGTACATGTAGAGGTTTGACTCATAGTCCGGCTGCATTTCAACCTACACAGAGAACAAAAGCAATGCTTAAGAATAACACATACTGGAGTAAAATGTGAGATTGTGCCAAGCAATCTCTTAGTAAAAGGCTGAAATCAACGTTACGTCACGAGAATCCACAGCACTATACATGATGTCCATCCATCCTTTGAATGTTGCCTGGAAACCAAATGAAAACATATTTTGAAGTATCCGATTTTTTTATTTATTTAACATTTCAGTTGAATGCACATTTGTTTATAGAGGGCTCACCACTTGCAGTAAGGAGAGGTATCCCATGCCTACGTTATCAAAGGTAACCTTCATATTCATCCAGCGCACATTTGGATCAGCCTCTGTGAGCTCCAAGCACTCACTCCTATTGTTGACCTTAGTGATTGGGAAAACTTCTTCGGATGTTGAGTTGAAGCAGTAGTAGAACTTTCCAGCAAAAAGGTTGACTCCCATGATGCTGAAGATGAGCCAAAAGATCAGGCAGACCAGAAGAACGTTGAAGATGGATGGAATGGCCCCCACCAGGGCGTTTACCACCACCTGTGCATATTGACAGCTTGAGAGCTTGGAACCAAATCTTAAACTGTTAACCTTCACTGGAGTTCATGGTTTTAAACTTGAAAATGTATTAGATGGTCAACAGCACAATATACAAAAAGAAATGTGAGAACAAGTAGAGCTAATAATATTAAGGATTTGAGGGTGGACAGCAGAAAACTCACCCTCATTCCTTCAAACCTGGAGAGAGCTCGAAGAGGTCTCAGCGCTCTCAAAGTCCTGAGAGACTTAATGGCCCCCAGTTCAGAGTAGCCTAAGATATTTGCAGTCAAACTGATCAGGGACACCTGCAGAAATATTCATTAAAATACTTCAAGTATATTGCTGGTTATTTTTCATCAATAATATATCTTGAGGCCTTTACTCAAAATAGTAATAATAACCCTTCTGTTGCATTTAAAATCCATATTATTTATCATGGATGGGTTAAAAATGGCCTAGTCCATTTATGATAAAATATATGCATTTAAAAAAACACATAAATATGACATTAAAAATATCTATATATTTTTTTACATTTTCTAAAGAAAGTGGGTAAAATATTACTAAAAAAATTTTTAATTAAAAAATTATAATTAAAAATAATCAATTTTCTGTTTCTTCATTTGAATGATGGCCATTGGCCTTTATTTCTCTTTTCAGTGGCTGTTAAAGTGTTTTTGTATACTGGTGTCCTGCAGATGTCACTGCATTCTGTAGAAAAAACTAACTTTGTTGTTAGTCTTTAAAAATATTTTTAATTGCATAGTGATTTTTTTTGTGTGAATGTGTATTCAAGTCTGTACAGAAATGTGCAATAAAAAGCAAAATAACAACTGAAATATGAACCAAATTCAAACGGAAATAGGATTTGTTGTGACAAACTCGAGTCACAATGATTCCGAATTATTAGTGAAATACACAAGAACTAAACTTTTAGCTTTAAGATACGGTACACTATCCATACTAATAGCAGAATAATGTAGAAGCTGTTATAAGATATTCAAAATATTTCAGAAATTAACCGTAATCTGCACTGTTAGGGGCAGCCTGGTCCTGGATAAGCACCAGGATAATGAATGAAAGTACTGTAAGAATTCATGAATTTTTAATGGATTTTCAAATTTGTCTTAAAGGTGCAATAGGAGATCTTGGAAAATGCTAACTTTAGCTTGATAGCACTGAAAGCGAACGTCCCACCCTCCCTGCAATCGCCGTCCAAAGCCACGCCCCCTGAACGCATTTACACTCACAGACCAGAGACAACATTACTACAATAGGCTACATCAGGTTCCCAATTCATGCACGTAGCTCACTTCTAACGAGCTGGTGCAAGGACTAGATTAACCGCTGGGCTACATCATCTGTCATTCACTGGTGAGAAATCTTTAAAAGTACTACAATACCAGGAAGGAAGATCGGGTTGTTGATGTTTGCCTGCCATCCTCGCTCTGTCTGCACAACGTGCGTGAACGCGCTGATGACGTATCCTGTCTGCGCGAACTGGGTGCGCAGAGGTATGATAATACATACATTGACAGGCAGGTAGGAAAGTATATTAAAATGCTCGGACCGAGCATTTTGATCGGATTAACATTTCTTGATCCTACGCCTTCCACAGAATATATAAATACAGACAAATACATTTAGACCACTTAACTTAATGATTGCTATCGGGATGCGAAGAGACTTTCAACCAGTATAACAAAAATGTTTCTGAAGACAATCACCTATTGCACCTTTAAGGATCACAAGGACCTGTTTGTCTTAACGATCACAGATGAATGAAGTTTCTTAGGCTGGTTAAACAATAGTGTCAGTGTACTTTAATTCAAAATATTCTGTTGAATTAGGAACAACTAATACTTACATCAACAATGAGAAAGTCCAGCCAACACCATGCGTTTGTGAAATAGACCTTGAATCCATAGGCTACCCATTTCAGAAGCATCTCAATGACAAACACATAGGTGAAGACCTGATCTGCATATTCAAGAATGATTTTAATCATTCTTCGTTGTTCACTGTATATGTCCTCAAATGCCTAATAAAAAGAAACATACATATGAAAAACTGGGTTTCAGTGGGCTGTGGTTAATCAAGTAAAAATATATTTTTATCAATGGACTCACTAAAGCTCCACTGCTGAGGAGGATCATGAAGATAATGAAGGTTTCAAAATAGCTATGCTCCACAATGGAGAAGCAGGTTTTACGGAAATTCCACCATGCCTTCCCTTTACCTTGGGCAACGTCAAGCTCCAAGCAAGGACATCGCCTGATGCAGTCTGGGAATGCAGAAAAACATTAATAAGAACATAATTCAATGCTACACACAGTGATAAGTCATCGCTCATGTCTCACTCTCTGTGTAGCAGTCCTCAGGGACGGTGGAGTCCTCTTCTTCCTCTTCTTCCACCTCTACTACCTCAGGAGCTTTGTCCACTGTGCTGCAGGTTGATGATTCATCTCCATCTGTCTTCTGTCCAGATGAAAACACTGTAGGTCAATTTCTGGTATGATTAGTACTTTTCGCAAACAACTCAATATCCTCTGCTGATCTGGAAACTGGCAAGTTTCAAAGAGCTTGAGGGAGGCTCACACTTGTCTCCAAGTGGAAAAATCGAGCAAAGCTGTGGGCACACTAGACCAGCGATGTCCAACCGTCCGACAGACTTTAGTTCCAAATCTGCTCCAACACATTGGATTCAACAAATCATGCACCAAAAATCTGAAAATAAACATTCTACTCCATTTTACTGCAATCTTGTGGATTTAAAGTTTGTGTTGTTTTAAACTGGCTAAGAGGTCATGCTGTGACGTATCAGTCTCCTATTGGTCACGCATCTTCGTGCACCAAATTCGCAGGCCAGACTTCACCAAACTTGAACGCTGGAATGCAGCAAAATTTGTACAAGTTTGTGTTCCTGTCCTGCATTCATTCACATGTGTATGAAGGGAAGTCAATTGAAAGGTGTAGTGTAATGCTAAGTGACTTGCCAACTGGTCATACAGTACATGGTTTAGGTCAAATTGTAAGAAAGACTCTCAAAGAGAAAATCAAATCAAAGATATAAAACCGTCTGCTAAAACAAACTTTTTAGCTATAAATTATCTCACAGAAACATCAGTTTTCACTTCAGATCTTATTCGATTGTTTACACGAGACTTACGTACAAATTTGCATTCATGTTCATCTCTCTGACACATACTGTAGCTAGATGTGAAATGCAGTGCTGTGCGACACATGGGGGCATGACATATGAACTGTGTTACCTGATCCAAAGGCATGCCAAAAAGCAGTTGCCTAATGAATTAGGGCCAGTGTGCTTCTACAGTACAAATAAAATATGAAAAATTGTATGACCTGAACTGGAAAGATGTACATTTTACAGGGAATTGGGACATAGTGCAGTAGGGATTTATAGCACTGACATGCTTTAAACGGATTGTCGTAAGATGGGTGCTAGTCAGAACGTTGTTCAGTAAGGTAACTAATCATGCTGGTGCTCTTTCTCACGCCCTGTCACCGTGTCACATGGTTTCTGACATTCCTTAGACATACTCTCCAAACAAGATGACCCACGGGGCTCCAGATGGACTTTGCAGGTGTCACAGTATTTGAGACACATGTCTAGGTGTCAGGAGGTGTTGATGGACGGATGTCAGTGATACTCTGGCAACCGGTTTTGCATTTGTGTGATCTTTCACATTAGATTTTAGGAACACAACTATCAGAATTTTGCACTGAAAAAAAACTCACTTTACTATTTTTATCGACGTCCTCTTTGTCTTCATCCTCAGAAGAGCTGTTGCCATCATCGTCATCATCCGATTCACCGTTGGCTATAGGCACTTTGATAACGGACAGACTGAAATTCATGGTGGCCACCTTAGAATCGATTTCTTCGTCTGCTTTCACACCCTCTTCCTTTGGCTTCAGGCCCAGACATTGTGTCAAATGTCCGATAACGAAGGCCTTCACCCATTCAATGCCTCTTGTCATTCTAGCAACGGCAATCTGCAGATTGTTCATCTCCCCATCATCATCAGACGCTGACATGTTGTCTCCACTGAAGGAGCTGAGCAGCAGAGCCAGGAAGAGATTCAACACCTTCAGGACGAGAAAGAAAAAAATATATAATAATTCAAAGATGAAATACAATGACATACTAACATTGTACAGCGAGAATAAGGATTGGTGGCCAATCAAGAATGGAATAGTATAAAGACAGTATTTTTATTGTCAATAAATTGTCATTAAAAATAAAAATCTTTCACAACTTTTATTAAATGCAAGTTTTATGTTTTATCAACACATTGATGTAAGCGATGTCAATTAATGTCTGGCCTGCAAATAATTTTGTAAATACTTGAATGATCCATGATAGAAAAGATTGTGCTCTACACTGATCAAATGAGGTTTTTTGACTCCCGCTAAAGTGATATCTGACTTCTTGAATTTCTCAGATAGGTGATTGATAGGTTTATGGTACTTATTTAATAATAAATAAATAAATTAATTAATTTAATTTAATAAATTTTGGCACATACAACAGAAAACATTATTTGAATGGATCATTTTAATTTGTCTGTCTGTCTGTCTATCAAAGAAGGAAATCCACTCACCACTAGGTTTCCTATAACCATGACCATCATGAAGACGACGATGCACATGCCTTGGTCAGCCACTTCCATACAGTCCCACATTGTTTCGATCCATTCCCCACATAGAATGCGAAAGATGATGAGGAATGAGTGAAAGAAATCTGTCATGTGCCAGCGAGGGAGCTCGCAATCGCCCGAGATCTTACACACACAGTCCCTGTAGCTTTTTCCGAAAAGCTGCATCCCCACAACAGCAAAGATGAAGACAATAATGGCCAGGACAAGGGTCAGGTTCCCGAGAGCACCCACAGAATTACCGATGATCTTTATCAGCATGTTTAGCGTTGGCCAAGATTTTGCCAGCTTGAACACACGCATCTGCAACCAACAGTCATGATTTGAATAAATAGTTTAGTACTGAAATTTTGAACATTGCCATTTCAACTCATTTTGTACATAAAATGTAATTGAAATGTAAAATATAATAAAAAAACCCTCTTTCCAATGAAAAGGGAATTATTTATTGAAAATGAATATGAATGGTGACCACTGCTGTCAAGTAAGAAAAAAAAAAGTAATTTCTGCTTTTCCCACACGTGAATTATCATATGGCTTTAAAGGCTTGGAATATCAATGAATCATTTGGACAATTTTATCGTGTTTTATGTCCTTTTTTGAGCTTAACAGCCATCGGTCCTCATCCACTTCCAACTTCCAGTAGCTCTGACTTCTTTTGTCTTTTGTATAAGAAAGTATTATGTGTTTGGATCAACGGTGAGTAGCTAACTGCTATCAGAATTTTCTTTTTTTTTTCCATTTTGTGAAATATCCCTTCAAGATGAAAAAATGAAATTTCACCTACCAGACGGAAGGACCTCAGCACAGACAAGCCCTGAACATTGGCTAAGCCCAACTCTACCAGACTCATGGTCACAATTATGCTGTCAAAAATGTTCCAGCCAACTTGAAAGTAATAATATGGGTCCAGTGCAATAAGTTTTAGCACCATCTCTGCTGTGAAGATACCGGTGAAAACCTGCAGGGGAAAGAAGACTTCATGATGCAAGGAAAACATCAGCTTTTGTATGCTGGCAAAACAACTAGAAAGTATAATAAACTATGTTTTCAATATACATTTTAAAGGTGCAAGTTAACATTGATAGGTAGATCTATGTACCAGGTTTCCCACTGACAACATGTGTTCGAAATGTGGAGTCATAGGATAGTGCTCCATAGCCATGAACACAGTGTTAAGCACAATGCAGATGGTAATGCCCAGATCCACAAAAGGGTCCATTACAATTAGGCAGATAAACTTCTTGAATTTCACCCATGGCAAGCAGCAATCCCATTTCAGGAATATGTCAGCAAACTTGTACCAGCAGGGAGGACACGGCCTTTGAATATCCTCCAGCTCTGTTGATGAAAGTATTTTAACACATAAAACCCAAAAGTATGATTTGATTTCTTTAATTATTGTGGAACTCACTATTTACACTAAAGCGAAAAGTGAACTTACCATCTAAAGCATTGTCTGTAGTGCTCACTGCACTCGGTTTTCTCATCTGCGAGTCAGGGACTTCTAAGTAATTCATGCTGCCTTTGGATCCATTTGACTTTGAGAGGGGTTTCAATGCGATCCCATCATAGTCGTTCTGAATTTGGTCATCATCTTTATTTTTGCTGGATAATGATGTCTTACTGCCATTCACCATGCTGTTCTTTTGCTGCTCGACAGCAGACAAAATCAGAACTAACAATTAGTATTATTCTAACCAAATGATCTAAGGCTCTAAGCTGGGAAGCTTACAAGTATGACAAACCTCAGCTTGTTTCTTGAGCTGTTCCAGGATTTTTGCATACTCTTCCTCCTTTTCTTTAGCTTCTGCAATGGTGGCTTCATTCTGTTCAGCATACGCCATGGCCACCACAGCCAGAATCAGATTGATGAGGTAGAACGAACCCAAGAAGATGATGACTACAAAGAAGATCATGTACGTCTTCCCTGCTGCACGGAGAGTCTGAAATATTTTAGAATCTTTTTATGCTTCATTTACGTTCTTGTTCAAGTCTCAAAAGCATAGAAAACTAAATGGTTACTTCTACAGTATAAAAAAATTTACATTTACACTACAGTTCAAAAATTGGGGGACAGAAAGCAGAAGCGCCAGATTGTCATAGCAAAGTCAGAATTACCTCCTCTCCTAGGTTCACGAAACGGTCGTCCATATCTTAACTTTGATAAAGAATATCTCTTTGGTTTTGAGACTTTAGTCTTTGCAACTTGAGGGATCTTATCTATGCACAATCAGCTTGTAACACTCCAAAGAGAAAGGAAAACTTGAAATCGCATCATATGACCCCTTTAAATATTTTTGAAAGAAGTCTCTTATTACTCCAGTTGTGACACGATCCTTCAGAAATCATTCTAATATGCTGATTGGGTGCTCAAGTTGTAAGTATTGTACAAGTTTTGTTATGGAGCAGTTTGTACCATTTTGTTAACCCTACTGAATATTGTAACAAAATGGCATTGTATTATCACATGAAAGAAAGCAAAGAACAATGTGACAGTAACAAGATGCATATACCCACCAACTGGAACAAGTTCTCCCAGAAATCTTGAGTCATTAGCCGGAAAAGGGCTAAGAAAGCCCATGCAAAGCTGTCATAACTAGTGTAGCCATAATTTGGGTTTGGGCCAGCTTTTAGGCATGTGTAGCCCTCAGGGCACTTCCTGTGAACAGCAATGGCAAACAGGTAATTTAATAAACAATATATATGCATTCAGTTTGCTGAAAACTGCTTCTTTGAATACAATCAGTATATAGTTCTTTGAGATTTCAACTTGCTGGTGATGCACAATGTCAAGTCAAAGTTGGTTTAGATGATTACGTAGTAGGAAAATATCATATTTTAATAACATACCCTGCATCAGAGCTGTTCCCACAAAGTAACGGATCCATATGGCCAGGCACATAATAGTAGTTTTCTATGGCAAAGGAATGGAAATCACTAATCAAAACCACTGCAGGAGAATCTGAGCACTAAACTGGTCAAAATGAAGTAAGCAATTCATTTTGAGCTGTTTTCAAGCCCATTCTTAATAATTCCTATGTGCAGCAATTGTGAACTACATTTCATGTCACATTACTGATGTAAAAAGTCACAAGTCACCTAGATTTTCAATATATTCCTGAAAGTTGAATGTGCTGTTGGCTGTTTCAGTGCCATTGATGTCTGTGTGATTGAAGAGCATGGTCAGGTTATCACTGTTGCTCCAGGCAAAAGACTTGATGCACTTTTGCCGCAAATTTCCCATGAACAGTTGCAGGCCAATGAGAGCAAACACGCTGAGACAGAAGACAGTGAGGATCATGACATCCGCCAATTTCTTCACCGACTGAATCAAGGCGCCAACAATGGTTTTAAGACCTGGAATTTGCAGTTAAACAAAACCTCAGCTGAAATATTCCCAAATTATACAAAAAACAAACTGACGTTAAAGTGACATTTTGACTTCAAGTGAGTAGCATTCATATTTCCTGTAGCCATGTGAAATGACATGCTGTATTAACCTGGAATTACAGTAATTGTTTTTAGGGCCCGAAGAACACGGAATGTCCTCAGAGCAGATATATTCCCCAAGTCCACAAACTCTGTGACGTACCTGTGGATGAAGTGAATTCAATTCAAGATTACAATGCTTATTATTTTAAAACCTCACAATTATTTCACTGACACTGTATTCATAAAAAATAAAAATAAAAACCCTTGAACTGCCTAATACCATTACATATCACAGTTTTACAATTTGGGCTTTTACCAAAGATTGACTATTGTTTTGGGGGTTTTTTAATAGTGAAAAATATATACTTAAGAATAATTTAGTAGACCACTATTATAGACTATATAGTTAAATGTATAGACAATAGTCAATGTTAGCTGCAACAGGTTCCAACATGTTTGCATCGATCCAGATTTATATTTCTCTACATCTGGTTATGGGCAATGAAAATGATTTATGTACAGTATGAAACTTTGTAATGTTCTTCTTTTGAAATATTTATGGCTGAAGAAAGTGTGCATTCAAATGAATCTCTTTTATTGAAGTTTATTAAACCATATTTTTGTAAGAGTCTGCTCAAGCAGAGTCTCTCTTGCTGGGGTAAAAGATATGTTCAGTGTAGACTATATTTAGCTTGAGTGCAACAGTTGATCACAGAAGCCAAATGGCATCATTATGTGTATAGTGTGGACCAATAGCAAGTGAGGTGCCTGTTGGGTATCTGGATCACAGCATGTAATTATGAAGTCTGTGAACTTCAGGCAACTGATTTTATGTAAAAGTATACAGGAGACATTATAGAATATTGAGAGAAATAAGCGTTGATGAAATGTGTTGTTTAAAAAATACAATTAAGTTAGGAAGCTAAAATATCCAACATCCTGTAGCACTCAAACTTTATACACTGAGGATTCACTTGACTAGACATTACACTAGAAATAACATTTATTCAGTTTTTCTGATAACATGCAACTAAAATAGTTCAAAGACTATGTATACTTATATACATACATATAAAATACTTTTAGGTATTGGTAGCAAGGAAAACTATGGATGACAGCAGAGGGAATGCAGTAGTAATACTAATAACTCAAAAGTCCTCGTACACCGTCAGAACTACAATCAAACCAGCCTTTTAGTGTGCTGAGGAGGGCCAAAGTGTGAAGCTGAGATTTACTGCTAAGAATAGGCCTGGTAAGTGATCTCGCTTTACAAGTGGATAAACATTTTCATTCAGCCAGGCTGTGATTGTAAAGGGAGGCGAGGGTGGACCTTAGGGACACGTATGGAGAAGCTGAGGAGGACTGTCTTCAGAGGACCGGGACCTGTGCACAGCCTCGTTACATTTTTAGTGATGCTGCAAACAAACTGACCATTGACCTCTCACATCTGAGTGGGTATTTTCACAATGCTTCTGTGTCTAATGTGGTTGCCAGACCCCAGCTATCTCATGCGCCACACAACCTGACTGAGCAAAAACTGATTAGTCACACACTACACTGACTATTCGGAATGGCATCTGATTACGGAAGCTGCTGTTAAAAATAAAACTGTAAACTATTCCAATCCTCTTCTGAACAAACCATTTGCATTTAACTACAACACTAATTGAAGTATTTATAATGCAACATTTTGTATTTCACATTTAGCACATTTTACACATTTGTCAGTACATTTAGAGCCATAGCAAATGTTTGCACTGGCTTGTTTAACCTCTGATTTTACATTCAGGTTATAGTCATTCAGTGTCATACTTACGCCATGGTGATGACCATAAAATCCAGCCAATTCCACGGATCTCGCAGGAATGTGAAATCACCCCTGCAGAAGCCTCTGGACAGCACCTTTACAAGCGCCTCAAAGGTGTAGATGCCAGTGAAAACGTACCTAAGAAGGACCAAATTACACAATAAACAATCAAGGCATTTAAATGTGTCTCAATAACTTCCTGTTTATGTTGCTGGTTAGCTCATTTTATGTGGATTTTATGTCAAGCGAATTAAATATCAGGGTTGCGCACCAGAAATAAATTAAGAATGTCTTTAAATTTTCCTGAATTTGAATTAGATAGATAGATAGACAGACAGACAGACAGACAGATGGTGCATATGGATTTGGAAATATATGGTGCAAATCTTACTCTACTATTTTACTCCATGCTGGAGGGTCACCCATCGTCATGAACACACAGTTTGACAAGATGGTTAGCATGATGAACATGCTAAATAATTTGTTGTGATGTAAAGGAGAACTTAGAAGGAATGATTTGTGTAATTAAACAAGAAGTCAAAGTATTACACAAAGTTAAGATGTCAAATTAAATCATATATGGAAATGAAAGATAAGATGGTATGTTGATATACATACATAAAATAACATTATATATAAATATTTTCATGGGTTATATTGAATATGAAGGATATGGATGTATGAGTATTCTTATGGCCGCTCGTCGAATAGGGTTGAGTGGACTTAGAATGTAGCATGCAGGTTCAGCATTGAATCGGAATATTGTATTCCCTTTGGTGACCACAATGAACGTCTGCAAAACAGAAAAAGGGACACAAAATCTCTTGTGGAATAAATATTGTTCTGATAAGCCAGATCCGTAAATATTTATTGACATCAGGGCTTTGGTATTTCGCTTTTGCCACTGACTTTTTTTGCTTTGTAGAATGGATCCAACTCTTCAAGAGGAACATTGAGGAGATTTGGTGGAGGGTCTCCGTAGATGAATGGTAGGACCTTTCCTGCTTCCAAATCACTGCTGGGTTTGGGCAGATCCTCCTCAGGTACCTCGATATTCGAGGCCTTCATCTGTTCCTGCTCGGTGGCTTCTTCTGCCATCCGCCGCTCGATCTCGGCGAGCGACTCCAAAGTGAAGGGGTGGAACACATCGGCACCTGTGGGAGGGAGCAGGCTCGCCATCTTGACATTCTGCTGAAGGAGGGCTGCCACCACTTCGGGGTCTCTCAGTTGTGCCCTGCAGGGACAGAGAAAAGAGGAAAATATATTTATATGTTATATTATAAACAGCATTTACCATCACAGCTTAATTTCTGCACACATACAACAGGTTTTCTATGACTCAAAGTTAAAAATAAAACAGGCTATTCTGAGATAGTTTAAATGTAGTTAAAGTGACATTTTATACATTACTGAACAAAAGTGGTGTAAGTTTTTTTTAGAAAATAAATTAACACTTTTATACCACAATGATGCATTAACAGTATCACAGTAAAAAAATTTACATTCTATTTTAAACATTCTATTTCAAACAACTGTTGTTCTTTTCGACTGTTCTTTTTTGCTCTATTCATAAAAGAATCCTGAAAAAAAATGTATCCACCAAAATATTAAGCAGCACAACAGTTTTCAGTATTGACAATAATAATAATAAATGTCTCTTGAGCAGCATATCAGCATATTAGAATGATTTCTGAAGGATCATGTGACACTGAAGAAGACTGGAGTAATGATGCTGAAAATTCAGCTTTGCCACCATAGGAATAAAACATTTTTAAAATTAAAATAGAAAAGAGTTATTTCAAATTCAGAGAAATAAATAATATTTTACATTAAAAATATATTTGAAATTATAATAACAATATTATTGTTTTTACTGTAGCCATTAAAAAATCTTGCCAAACCCAAACATCTGAAATAACAGGTATATATTATTATTATTGCTTTTTAGAAAGGTCCAACTCTTCATCTTCAATAAAGATGACTTTATTTCTCAAAACTACAAAAAGTCTTACATACAAGGCTCTTTCTTTTTTCAGGACAGAAAAAAAATGTTACGAGACATCAATGAAAACGTTCATTTAAACATAAATAAAAGCATAATATTCCAGTTGAACTAAACTGTACATCAAAATATATTTGAAATTATAATAACAATATTATTGTTTTTACTGTAGCCATTAAAAAATCTTGCCAAACCCAAACATCTGAAATAACAGGTATATATTATTATTATTGCTTTTTAGAAAGGTCCAACTCTTCATCTTCAATAAAGATGACTTTATTTCTCAAAACTACAAAAAGTCTTACATACAAGGCTCTTTCTTTTTTCAGGACAGAAAAAAAATGTAACGAGACATCAATGAAAACGTTCATTTAAACATAAATAAAAGCATAATATTCCAGTTGAACTAAACTGTACATCACTGTTAAAGTGCAATTACTATCACAGCACCATCAACAAACAATTATATTCGAGCTACACAAAAATAAGCATCTCTCGCTATCAAGTGCCATATATAGACCAAACAACCTGTTTTAACATTTTTGAAACTTACAGTTGACGAGGCCATAGTTTTAGGTTCTTAGCTCTGTTTGGGTGAGCAGCTCGATTCCTATTCCAAACCTCCATCAGGTTTATCTTTTGCTTTGGCATGGCTGCTGTGTCCCCAAATTCTGCTTCCAGTTAAAAGCTCTCGACAAATAGAAGAATGTTACTCTGTGTGCTGTTTGTGGGACACTTTTTTACTTTTGGGTCCAACTGTACCAGGATGAGACCCTGCCCCTTCAGAGTTCAAAAAAATTCAGCACACAAAGATTCAGTCATTGGGTTGTCTACAAACGAGCAAGTTTCTACTTTAAGAGATTAACTCCAGACAACCCTCGCTGTCAAATGTGATCATAACAGTTAGAAAAGAAACATTACGCAGTAATGAGAAGTGTCATTTATCAGTAATTTACGTGTCTAATTATGAAAGAACAAATTTCTAATTTGATTCTTACGCCACATTATAATTTCAAAACAACATTGATCATCGTTTGAGTATATTTTCAATGATATGTGACAGCTTACATTTCTGCACCTGTGCACAGAAATCATTGGGTTTTTAATATGAAAAATCAACAAAACTGCATCACTGTTTTTTAAATGGCCTCATTCAAGTCTTTTTCTGTAGACTCCACACACCGGCTATGTGAAGCAGTGACTCACTGCACATGAATGTACATGGAGAGAAGGGCACTGGTAACTTCCCAGAAGCTGTGTTTTGGTGCCAAATCCACCCAGCAGGGAACTAGTCACTATCACAGTCACTATCACACTATCAAAATCCATAAATGCCTTTACTGTAAGGCTTTACATGTCACAATCAGCTGCTGGTCATTAGAATGAAATTATGTTTCTCTGTTTCTGTCATTCACTCTGATAAGCAGTTTAAATCAGTGCATTTACGGAGTGCTTTCTGTCTGCACTGTAAACAATTTTTTCATGATTTGTTATCATAACTTTTCACAAATCTTTTGTCAAATCAGCTTAGGTTTTACAAATATTGTTCAGATATCTTTAGTTCCCTATCTGTCGGTCACTACGAGTTATGTCGTAACGGCATTAGGGGTCTAACTTGGGAGCCCAATTTTCTCTGAGTTTAAGAGAAAACGCCAAAGAGAATTGGCTAGTGGATTTTGCATGCTGAGTCACTCAACATGTACACAGGTATATAAGGCGACAGTGTGCATCCACCAGTCGGATTTTTGCTTCAGAGCCGAGTAGTTGATGTCACACACTCATAGGATTGCCAACTTCACAAAAGGAAAATACGGGACAATCATGGTTCCCTATCGATATTTAACTCGTACTGCATCGCTAGACGCTTATGTGTAACTGCATGTGTAACTGCATGGCCATTGGTTCGTGCAGTGATTATAAAACGAACCAATGGCTCAGCAGCGGTGCTACACGAGCCTATGGCGGTGAAGCCCGTCAGAGCCCACCAGAATGGGCGGGGCCATCTGTCTATATACGCGGGCATTTCGCCATAGGATCTCAGATCAATTCTCCTCCAGCAACGTCAACCTTCCCTTCGCTGACCTTCAGGACTTGAAGACGCTCGCCATAGAAACGCCTCGCCGCTTCCGCCTGCTCTTTGAGCTGCTCAGCGACTAGCGCAGATGCCAGCTCATCCCCTGCTGCCATCCGGCAAGCCTAAAATAGCAAATTTCTCTCTAAAATAGCAGCGGCGTAGTTTCAAATGCCGAGCCGTCATTGCACGTTGTTCAGTATTGCACTGCACGATGGAGACGTCCACTCAGAGTGCGTTTCCTGCTTGGGTAAGCCTCACGCGGAAGCTGCTCTGACCGAGATGGATTGTTCACATTGCAAACATTTTCAAAAAGAGAGCAAATTTCCTCTTCCAGTTATCATGAGTGTTGAGTCCCCGCACTGGGACTCACCACCTGAATTAATCCAATCCCTTGTCAGACGGGCCGAGGCCTGGCGGGCCATCCCCGGAGTGTCTAATTGGGTTCTGAGGATTATAAAATGAGGTTATTCACTTCAATATGCTCGAAGACCCCCGCAGTTAAACGGCGTGGTCTCCACCTCAGTGCACAACAGGAACGCTCACGTTCTGTGAGCCGAGGTAAAGAATTTGCTGGCAAAAGGAGCCGTAGAAACAGTTCCACCAGCTCAGAGCGAGTCAGGCTTCTACAGCCGTTACTTCCTCATCCCCAAAAAGGATGGAGGCCTGCGGCCCATCCTCGATCTCAGACACCTGAACCGTGCCCTCATGAAACGGCTGTTCAGAATGACTACACTGAAGCAGATCCTCTCGCAAATCCACCCAGGGGACTGGTTCTTTTCACTGGATCTGAAACATGCTTACTTTCACATCCAGATAGCCCCCCATCACAGACGATTCTTGAGATTTGCCTTCGAGGGAGTGGCTTAGCAATACACGGTCCTGCCCTTCGGGCTGGCTCCCCGCACTTTTACGAAGCACATGGACGCGGCTCTCTCCCCTCTGAGACAGATGGGAGTCCGTATCCTGAATTACCTCGATGACTGGCTCGTTTTAGCACAGTCGGAGGCAAGCTAATAGCCCACAGGTCCCTCCTCCTCAGCCACTTAGAGTGTCTGAGACTTAGGATCAATTTTGCCAAGAGCTCTCTGCCCCCCAGCCAGCGAAATTCGTTTCTGCGGGGCAGTTTTCGACACAGTCCACATGAGGGCGATAGTCGCGCCAGACCGTGCACTGGCTATGCAGCAGCTTGCGGCTTCCTTCAGAATTGAAGCCTCCTACACTCTCAAAAGGTTTCAAAAGATGCTGGGCCTCATGGCCTCTGCAGCACCGGTACTTCAGTTGGGCCTGCTCAGAATGAGACCCCTTCAATACTGGTTGAAACCTCTAATTCCGCCCCATGCGTGGTGTCATGGACGCATCCGCATCAGGGTTGACCAGGCCTGTGTGACAGCCCTGGCCCCCTGGAAGGACCTACAGTGGTTCAAGCAGGACGTGACTATGGGATTGGTTTACAGAAGGAAAGTTGTCTCGACAGACGCATCCAACACAGGTTGGGGAGCTCTGTGCGACGGCAGACCGACCTTTGACTCCTGGACGAACGCGGAAGGCCAGCTACACATCAACTTCCTCGAACTGACGGCAGTATGTCGAGCTCTTCAGACCTTCTTGCCAGTCCTGAAGGGACACCACCTGCTAGTCCGATCAGACAGCATTATGGTGGTGTAATATATAAATCGCCAAGGCAGGCTCACCTCGAAATGCCTTTTCGAGATGGTAAAATGCCTTTTGGAATGGGCACATCTCAACCTGCGTTCATTGAGGGCAGCTCATGTGCCCGGCGTACTGAACCAAGGAGCAGACATGCTATCTCAGAGCAACGTCTCCTCAGAGAAGAACCATCTCTGTCTCAGCTGCTGACAGCAGCTTCGTGGCCCATTCCCCTGAGGCACGAAGCTGCCCATTCCCTCTTCTCTCAGGCGAACAGAACGATTTGGCACCCCCTGCCCGAGCTGTGAGCACTGCACCTATAGGCTCTCAACGGGAAGCAGTAGATCCTGAATGCTATCTCACAGGCTAGAGCCCCGAATATGAGATACCTCTCCGCCCTTAAGTGGACGATTTTCTCCACCTGGTGCGAAATCCACGGCGAGGACCCAATAACATGTGACATATCGGTGATATTGTCCTACTTACAAGAGCTGTTGGACAAGGGCCGCTCCCCTTCCACACTCAAAGACTATGTGGCAGCTATAGCAGCTTCTCATGCTCCTATAGCCGGACAGTCGATGGGCCGTAACATCCTAGTTGTCCGTTTCCTGAGGGGATCCAGGAGGCTCCATCCGCCCTGGCCCCTCACGGTCCCTACATGGGATCTGCCCATGGTCCTGAGAGCCCTCAAAGGCTCCCCCTTTGACCCACTTCAGTCTACAAGCTTAAAAACACTGTAGCTTAAAACCGCTGTGCTGCTGGCGTTAGCATCGGTTAAGCGAGTAGGTGACTTGCAGGCTCTCTCGATAAGCCCGGTCTGTCTTGAGTTTGGGCCTAACGACTCCAAAGTCGTCCTAAAGCCAAGACATGGGTATGTCCCTAAAGTGCTCTACACGCCGTTTAGAGCCCAGGTTATTACTCTCTCTGCGCTTCCTCCTTCTGAGGAGGACCAGGATTTTAACCTTCTCTGCCCAGTCAGGGCACTGAGAATTTACATTGAGCGTTCCGCCCCCTTCAGGCAGTCGGAACAACTCTTTGTATGCTTTGGCGGCCGCACCAAAGGGTCCCCGGTCACAAACCAGAAGATCTCTTGATGGTTACTTGACGCTATCACACAAGCTTACTCCTCCCTGGGCCTTCAGAGTCCCATAGGAGTGAGAGCCCATTCCACTTGAGGCGTGGCCTCTTCCTGGGCGTGGTCTAGTGGCAGACATAGCAGACATCTGTGCGGTGGCCGGCTGGGCCTCGCCATCCACCTTTGCCAGGTTCTATAACTTGGAAGTTCCGGCCTTGCAGGCCAGGATTTTATCTGCTTTTATCTTTATATATATATATATATATATATATATATATATATATATATATATAGAAAAAATATTCTATTTAATATGGGCTGCTTTTGGTGCTTGACAATTTTTTTATTTGTCATTTTGTGTTTCAAGAATAAGGTCCAAGGTTAAGAATACGCTAGAAATTATTTAAATGTAAAATGTTTTTCTCTATTTAACATTACAATCATGAAAGATGACTTCCCTTATTGATAACGCCTTCCCTCAGGTAGATTAGCCTACATGTTTTCTTGCGCGGCTGGATGTTGGAGTCATGAAAAATAATCACGTAGTTTGCATTCGCCAAAATGGATTTGCTGAAAACAAAAACACTGATGGTGACGGTAATTGGCATTAGCGCAAGTCCCGCTCACTGTGAAGCGGGAGCGTCCAGCTGGCAGAGGATTCCGCTTTGTCTTAAGCCTTCCTCGAACAGTTATGTTCACAATTTTGTGATTTACTTAACGCATAGGCCTACTGATCATGCATATGAGGGGGCTGTAACTGGATGATGACAGGTGTCAGTGATCATTCTCAAGTGTTGTGATCAGCGTAGCATTCAATAAACAGACAAAGGAGGTCACGTACGGGACAAATCAATTAGGCCCAATATACGGGACGTCCCGGCTGATACAGGACAGTTGGCAACCCTACGCACTCACTACAAAGCCAT